TGGGGCAAGGGGAGTGAGCGAGCGGCTGCGTGGTGCTTAGTCGCTGGTTGGGGCAACTACTGTTTGATCACTTTGTCTTGATTTTGGAACTCATGATACCCTTGTAATACTTTGACAAGCTATGTGTTTGAATATTTTTCTACAGGATTTTTGTGAAGTAGGAAAGAGGCAAAAGGGCTTATATTGTGTCATAGGAAGTATGATGACTTGGACGATCTATTCTCTGCACTTGAAATCTGTCTTTTTAGACTTGTGTTAAACTGATTAGGTGGAAGATATCATAAGAGGGACTTGGCGTCAACAACTCATGCTCAATGTTGCCTACTGGAGGCAGACGATGCTTCAGTAGCGCTGCCTGAAAGCATCTGGGAGTAGTGAGGCTTACGTATTCCATGGAAGCTGAGATTGTATCAATATCATCTGCCTAAAGCTGTTCCTGGGATATAAAATGTCAGTGTCCAAACAAACCTCCCCAAGTATCAGTATTTCCACTATGAATTTAGGTTCTTGTCTTACCAGCTTGGTGCCTGTATGCCAGTTTGAGAAGATGCATACAGAATGTTGTGATTGTTATAGGAATGAAATCTAAATAAAATTGTCTTTGGTAGAACTAAAATCTCATTTTATATGTAAATATCAAAACACAAACTCTTGGATATTCAGTGCTATATTTCATATGACATTAGGTGTCTTTTTGATTGCCATATAGTTGCTGGACAGCTATGTTTATATTTCAGTTGTTATTGGTAACATTTAGAATATGATTACTTAATTGTAATTCCTTCCAGACTGCTGAACTTAATTTGGTGTGTCATCTACCTGAAAAAAAATGTAATTGAAGTTTGCCTGTTATGACCAGCTGAACAGATAATTAATTCAAAGAGATTATTTGAAGCTATAAATAAGATGAAACTGTAAATTGTAATAGAGAATTCTGCTTAACAGAAGCTGGACTTAAGGGTTCCATACATTTTTTTCCTCAAATATAACATTTTTATACTTATTTTCTAGGTGTGAAAGCTGGCTTAAAACGAACATACTCAGCTGTTACTCAGGATCACCTAGAAGTGAGCAACATGCCGCAGTGGAAACCATTGCTGTATGCTGTAGCATTTCTTCACACAACTGTTCAGGTTTAAAAATATGTTTCTCTTCTTCTGTCATAAAACCATCTTTCATTTATTAATGCACCATCTTATTAAATGAAAAATATGTTTAAATGGAAATCCCATGTTGGTAAATTAATACAAATAAGAAAGAAAACAACACACCTCTATTACTGCAACTGTCTTAGAACTTAGAACTCTGCTCATGTTGATCTTGTACCTCCAACAGGGATGGTGTTTCAGAGGCAAAAAAGGACAGTCAACAAATGATCAATCAGTGTACTCTTCTGTTAAAGTCTTTGGGCATGGCTGTGTGATCTGTCTTTCAACTAACTGCTTTTTTACTAATATTTTAAATCATGAAAGCACATTAAAGAAATTTACAGCTTGGGTTGGAAAACCATAGTCTTAAAACTGCTGCTTTCACAATGAGAAGGGCTAAGAGGGTGAATATAAATCCTTCCTGCACTGAAACCTGTAGGAGGAAATGAAGGTGGAAGATGATTTTGGGTCTTGCCTTTCAGGAGTTCCATTAAAGATAGTGCTTTATGGATTAACCACAACTTTTCATCATTCTATTGATAGATTTTGCAGTATCCTTATTTTGTATTTGGTGTCTAGTTAATTTAACTCTGTGGCATCCATGCACTGATACTTTGTGGTCCAGTAGAAGCCTGTGGTATGCTTGTCTTTGGCCCATTGCTTCTTTCTTGGTGGAAATTAAGAATGTTTAAATACCAGATATTGCCCTAACAACTACATCTGGACAGCTGCATCTGCAAATGATTCAGTAAGAAGCAGCTTTTGCTACTTGCATCTGCACCATGCAGAGACATCAGTGGTATGAATATACCTAGTCCATAGGAGGACCACAGACAATGATCACGGCTGATGAGTTTGGACATCCTTTCCTAAAACAGTATCTTAATTTTTGAAATTCAAAACCTATAGTTCTAGACTCACAGATTTGCTGCACTTAAAAAGAGGATTTTTTCGTTCTGGAAATGTTAATATTCCTATTCTTTGTTCATATCTCTCTAATGATGATGATAAATGAAGAGATACTTAACTACTATGTAATTAATCAAGCATTTGGCCTTGTGTGTGTTAAGAGAAGAACCGTTTTTTTAAAGTTGGTGAAATACAGCCCCAGGTGGACTACTGCGTTCTTAGCATATTTCATGTATTCTTCAGCACTTAATGTTTTCTTCACAATTGCTATCAATCAGACACTTACCTTTCACTCTCTCTATTTTACAGGAAAGACGAAAGTTTGGTCCATTGGGCTGGAATATTCCTTATGAATTTAATCAGGCAGACTTCACAGCTAGTGTGCAATTTATTCAGAATCACTTGGACGATATGGACATTAAACGTGGAGTGAACTGGAGCTGTGTTTGCTATATGCTTGGAGAAGTGCAGTATGGTGGCCGTGTAACTGATGACCTTGACAAAGCACTGCTGAATACATATGCAAGAGTGTGGTTTGGAGAGCATATGTTTAGTGAAAAATTTTGTTTCTACAAAGATTATGTTATTCCAAAAGGGAAAACAGTTGAAGACTATCTCCAGTACATAGAGCAATTGCCAGTGACTGATACACCTGAGGTAAAATATTTCAATATATTAAAGGGAGTTTTTGTCAGATAAATAATTTAGTCAGATATATTTTCCAGAGCCATGAATGTATAGGTCAGGGTTAGCACACAGACCATTATAGTGGGTACCTAGTGTAGATCTGCTGACCAGGAAGAGGTAGGTGAGGCCTTCTTCAAACAGCTGGAAGAAGTCTCATATTCACAGGCCCTGGTCCTCATGGAGGACTTTAACGACCCTAATTATCTGCTGGAAGGATGATACAGCAGTGTTCAAGCAGTCCAAGAGATTTCTTGAGTGCACTAATGACAACTTCCTGGCACAGCTAACTGAGGAGCCAACAAAGAAAGGCACTTGGCTGGACCTGATATTTATGAGCAAGGAAGAACTGGTCAGGGATGTGAAATCCGGAGGCAACCTTGACTTCAGTGACCAATGGTGGAGTTCAGGATTGTAAGATGAGGGAGTAGGGCAAAAAGCAGGACCACAGCCCTGGGTTTCAGGAGACCAGACTTCAACCTCTTCCAGGTTTGGAAGGCTTCCAGGTTTCTTCCATGCTTGGAAGAACCCCACGGAATGTTGCCTTCAAGATAACAGGGGTCCAGGAGAACTTGTTTATATTCAGGGATCACCTCCTCCAAGCTCAAGAGAGATGCATCCTAACAAGTAGGAAATCAAAGGCAGCAGGAGGCCTGAATAGATGAACAAGAAGTTCCTAACTGAATTCAGGCATAAAAAGGAAGTGTAAAAGAGGTGGAAGCAGGGGCAGGTGACCCAGAAAGAGTATAGAGCTACTGTCCAGTCTTGCAGGGATAGGGTTAGGAAAGGCAAGGCCAAAGAGGAGTTGAATCTGTCAAGGAATGTGAAGGGCAATAAGAAAGGATTTTACAAGTACGTAAACAGCAAAAAGATGGCTGGGGAAAATGTGGGTCCATTGCTGAATGGGACAGTAGAACTAGTGAGAAATGATATGGAAAAGACTCAATGCCTTCTTTGCCTTAGTCTTTACCAGTAAAACTGGCCTTCAGGAATCCCAGGCCCCTGAGACAAAAAGTCTAGAACAAGGAACTTACCCCTGGTGGAAAAGGACTAGGTTAGGGGGCATCTAAACAAACTGACCATGTGTAAGTTCATGGTACCTGATGGGTTACACCCATGAGTGCTGAGGGGGCTGGCTGATGTCACTGTCAGGTCGCTCCTGATTGCTTTTAAATGGCCATGGTGACTGAAAGATGTTCCTGAAGAACGAAAGATAGCAAAAATCACTCCAATCTTTGAGAAGGGAAGAAGAAAGATCTGGGGAACTACAGGCTGGTCAGCCTCACCTCAGTCCCTGAAAAGATGCTGGAGAAAATCCTCTTGCAAAGCATTTCCAAACATATGAAGGACAAGCTGGTGATTGAGAGTAGCCAGCATGGATTTGTGAAGGAGAAATTATGCTTAACCAACCTGTTGGCCTTCTACAATGAGGTGACCAGCTTGGTGGATGAGGGGAGAGCAGCGGGTGTTTTTTACCTCAACTTTAGTAAGGCCTTTGGCACTACCTCCCATAACATCTTTATAGACAAGCTGACAACGTATGGGTTAGATAAGTGTGCTGTGAGGTGGTTTGAAAACTAGCTAAATAACCAGCCCCAGAGGGTTGTGATCAGTGGCACAAAGCCCAGTTGGAGACAGGTCACTAGTGCTGTATGTTGGGGTCAATACTGTGGCCAATACGGTTTAACATCTTTGTTAATGACCTCAATGATGGACAGAATGCACCTTCAACAAGTTCACAGGAGATAAAAAACTGGAAGGAGTGGCTGACAGACCAGGTGGTTGTGCTGCTATCCAGAGAGATCCGGACAGGCTGGAGAGCTGGGCAGAGGGGAATCTCATGAAGTTTGACAAGTGGAAATGCAAATTCCTGCACTGGTTGTCTTGGTGGACAACTAGCTGACCATGAACCAGCCATACACCCTCATGGTAAAAAGGTCAACAGTATCCTAGGCTGCATTAGGAAGAGGGAGGGGATCCAGCAGGTTGAGAGAGGTGATCCTTCCTCTCTACTGAGCACTGGTGAAACTATATCTGAAGTACTGTGTCCAGTTCTGGGCTCCCCAGTACAAGAAAAGATATGGACTTACTGGAGTGAGTCCAGAGCACAGTCATGAAGATGATTAAGGGACTGGAGCATCTGCCATATAAGGAAAGGCTGAGAGAGCTGGGACTCTTTAGCCTGGAGAAGAGGAGGCTCAGGTCGGATCTTATCAATGTGTATAAATACCTGTGAGGAGGTTGTGAAGATGGAGCCAGAGTCTTTTCAATGGTACCCAGTAAAAGGACAAGAGGCAATGGGCATAAATTAAACAACAGGAAATTCCATTTGACTACAAGAAAACACTTAGGTGGTCAAGCACTGAAAGAGGTTGCCCAGAGATGTTGTGGAGTCTCAGTCTTTGTAGATATTAAAATCCCAGCTGGACACTGTGCTGGACAGCCTGCTCTAGCTGACCCTGCTTGAGCAGGTGTTTTGGATTAGAAGACCCTCAGAAGTCCCTTCCAAACAGAACTATTCTGTGATTTTGCAATGCTGTATGGGATTGAGCAGACACACAAACTGAGAAATAATGAAAATAAAAAAGCCATATGGTCTCATTTTGCAAGCTATAATTGGGAGATTATTCCATATCGACAACAGGAAGATCTGGATGTTACCATGAATTGATGGGGTAGGGTGCAAGGTAGCTCTTGGTTGCAACCACTTCTACATGACCCAGTGTGTGTATACTGCAGTGGTCACATTAATTGGAGGACTGCAACTTTCTGCTCCGTCTAGTATAGGCACACATGATGAAGTTAGTTAAAATTAAAACAGACGTGAATGCTCTGGATTTCTGTCTCATTGCTATTAAGTTGATAAAAGCCTTTGGAAGTAAGTTCTATTAAAATTAAATAGACAAGACTGTAGAGAAAAAAACTGGTTTTCTGTTACTGATAATGTGCTGGCTGAGAGGGTGAGAAGATTCCAAGGTCATAAAATAAGCTTGAAAAGTTTTGAATCTCTGAAGGTAGTGAAAGCAGAATGCAAGGGTTTTTGTGCTGGCAACGACGCACCTTTTTCAGATGAAGGTAAATGCAGCCATGATAATGCACCTGTGGGATCCATCTGAGCCCAGCTCATGAAGTGGCTCCCATCAGTGTATGAACCTTGACTCTACCAGATTTCAGGTGCTACTTCCATGCATCTGCTTTTCTAAGCACTTTGGAACCTATCTCACAATGCTGCAATGTATTTTCAAAGTATTTTGATGCCTGTAAAAAATCTGTATGTATGGTTTGATGTAGGGGAATTCTACCTTTGACTTTTATGTAAATAGGATCAAGTCTAGGAATGCAAACATCTTTTTCTCCTTCACATTTTCACAGGTTAGGAAAAAAGCTATGACTTTCTTCTGTCATTCCAAAATCCATCAAAATAGCTCATGGAAACCTTTAACCTTTTAATCTCCAAGTCTTCTTCGTTCCACAAAGGATATTGTGCTAGTCAAAACAGTGTATCTTTGTTTCCTCCCCTTTCCATTTTTGCTTAAGAAGGAAAGACTGAATAAGTCTGATTGCTGTATCCTTGCTCTTTTGATGAAATTTCAACTTCTGATCAGAATAAACACTGACTGCTGAAGAGGGCTATTGAACTCAGCAATCCCTTTGAAAATGACTTTGATTTCAGAGGGGTATAGAGCTTTAGCAATTGGTTTTAAGGATTTATCAGGCTAAAAAAACCCTCTGAAAGACAGAATCCAAAATCCTCTTTTTTTAATAAAAATTCCCAGAGATTTTGGATCAAAAAGAATGAGAGATTGGTCTCCTTGATTAATATACAGGACATCCAGGACACTGGTCCATCCATTGCTTTACTACTCTGGTTTCTTTGTTCTTATTCCTTCATACATCACTTGTATAAAAACATAGGACCAGAGTTGTCTCCCATGTAACATCCGTGTCTGTGGCAATATTACACCAGTTTTGAAGTTAGCCCTTGGACTAGCACTGCAATTTACATTCACGGTAGCAGATGTTTTTCATGTTTCTAACTTGGGCATTGCCACAAAATCTGCTAGAGCAAAAACAGACAAACAAAAAAACCCTTGTTGTGCAAGAGCAAAAGCAGAAAAGAGCGTGTCTTCAAATGCGTATTTCATTCCATATAGAATATGTGTAATAAAGTGCATTGATATTTTCACTTTTTACAGCTCTACATGTTCAAGTTGAGTAAGCCACTGTGTAAAACATGTTAAATCCTACTTGGAACCTAATTCTGTGCTAGTTATAGTCACATCTCTCACACGCCGTATTAGGTCTGTACTGTGTTCTTTGTGCTGTTGTAAGGATCAGATCCACAACTGGTGTAAATCAGTGCAGCTTTTCTTTCTTTGACACAGATGCAGCCACTTATATCCCTTGTCTCTGAGTTTCTAGATTGGCAAACATAACAATATTACATATGGTCCTTTTTATTCTGTCCTCAGAGTATGTAAATACTGGTTACTAGAAGTGTCTTCTTGTAATATACAAATTCCAATGTAAAATATGAAAACATGAAAAATGAGAAACAGAAGATTGCTTGGCTTTGGTGCTCAGTTTGAGGGCAAGCCTTCCTCATTGTTGGATCAGTGGTTCAAAGTTTGTAAGAGATAGTTAATATATAATTAAATGAGGGCTTGTGAAATAAGTCACGGTACAATTCCTCCTGGAGAAGAGTTGCAATTGTCAACCTGACAACTATAGACTTACTAATATTTCAGTGGAAGTTTCTGAGAAAGCTATTATCATTCAGACAAAGGGCAGATTTGCAGTAATTCTGTGCTAGCTGTATCTTAAATAAAATAATTCAATTTCAGAAGAAGGATAAGTAAGGAGTGGGAGGCTTAAACCAAAAATAGCTAAACCATAAAATATCCTAAATATATCACCAGTCATAAAATCTTTAGATATTTCGAATATGGGCAGTGTTTTATCCACTGTGCTGCAAGCTTATAAGCCTAAGAGACTGAGTGAAACAAAATGTGTTAGAAATAGTAACCGGTCTGATTATTAGGAGCATCCACTTGAGCTGGTACAACAGCAATAGTTCTGTAGAGACAAAGAGCTAGTGGTGAGGGGTCAGTGTCCACATATGACATGTTTCCAACAAGCCCTAGTCTGAACCAGTGGAAAGGAATCAGTTTGTACCCCCTGATAGCACTCCACAGCATGATCCAAAGCCTGCTATGTGAAGATAATCAGAGATCAGTTAAAAAAAAAACATTCATATGAATGAAAACACTATTGTATATGCAGCCTATGATAATGTTTTTGTGTGGGCTTGGTCCTTGGCCAGTTAAATGGATGTACTTCCACTGACCTATTATATCTATTGTTTTATAGAGCTGAGGATTTTCTTCCTTGTTTATCCATTTTCATGCATTCTTTCATTGATACAATTTTAGAAGGAAAATTGCAAATTTTTTTCTGTTTTTTTCCCTTTTACTTTAAGGTATTTGGACTTCACCCTAATGCAGATATAACTTATCAGACTAACCTGGCTAATGAGACATTAAGTACAATAGCGAGCATCCAGCCCAAAGACAGTAGCACTGGAGAAGGAGAAACCCGAGAAGCAGTGGTGTGGCGTCTTGCTGATGAGATGCTAGAGAAGTTACCTCCAGATTATAAACCTCATGAGGTATATGCTGCTTTATAAATACAGATGTTTTATGTATGTATGTATATGTTTTATGAGTTTTATTGTGCTTCTTAAATTTACCTGGCATGTGTTTTAAAAAGCTCTTAAAATTATGCATAGCATTTTATAGGTCTGTTTTGGTTTATTATCTAAAATATTCCTACATCGGAAACATATTTCAAATGCCATAGTCCACTTAATTACTCAGAAGAGCCGTTAGAGGCTTCGGAAAGTGCTTGCTCTCCTTAGTAGTTTAGAGGAGGACACCAGTGCCTCTTTCTGAAGGATCAGTGATCTTGTAGTGGTTACAGCTTTCAATTTACTTACTGTTATTACAATACCACCATTATGAATAATGGATTTTATCACTGACCTATTTGTGCCCCAGATTTTTTGAAGTTTGAGCCATAACATATATATTTGTCAATCTTTTCTTACATTTTTGATTAACAGTCTCATTAAATAGAAAAATCCAGCATAAAGCACTCTTGCATTGGTTTGTAAGTAGGATCTGGTGTCTTGCCATGTGTTTCATGAACAGTAACTGTTGAAAACCCCTCATTTCCACGATTTTATTATTTATAATTCTGTTTTGCACTGGTAGTGCTTTTTTTTCCCCTGGTTGCATTCCAAGCTTGTTGGGTGCCCAGTATGCAGTATTGCAACTTGTTATGTTATACTTTATTTTCTTCTCTAGTCAACTTAGAATGTCCACTTAGGTTACAACCCATAATCTTGGGACCCTGTTAATATTTCCTGTCTTCTGTTCTACTGTTCATCTCAGATTTAGTATGTCTTGTATAAATAGCCTCTTCTGTACGGTCATAATTCAACTCAGAGCTTCTCTTTTCACTCCCCTGTTGGCAAGCTACTTACAATCTGCAACTTTTTTTGGTGAGGTTTCCTAGCAGCTTTCTCCAGATAGATATTTTTCCATCCATCCCTGCTTGTGTGTCTTTTTTTGTCACCTGCTTATCAAGTTATTCCCAGCAATAGTATATAAATAATTTATTTGTAGAATTTGATTTGGAATGGAGTCAGTTTTCTAGTTTTCACATTATTATTTAATAGTAAATACATACTAGAAATAGCAAATAAAATGAAATATAGAAAGTATAGTAATTAATAACACTTAATTACTAATTTAATAAATTTAATATTTTACACTTTGGATTTATGCCTATAATCTACACCTTGGATTGTTCTCAGTCCTTTTCCCTTATCCTTCCCATCAGAGTAAAGCTTTTTCATGGAACTAGTTTCTTCTAGTTTTATTCAGGTCCTTAGAAAGTTTTTTTCAGTTTGCAATAGCAATAGGATACTGAATGCCTGGCTAGCATATATGGTTTTGCCATATTTGTAATATGTGTATGCAGCTAATTTTTTTCAATATATCTGCTAAATCCTCTAAAGCAGTATTTCTTCATTCCCTTGTTAAACTGCCAACTTTTTTCTTCCTGAAGAATTTCTAATACTTAGAAGACATCAATAGTACTGGACCTTATATTGTAACCAGAGGGTATTCTTGCCCTCAGATTTTACCCCTGGGAGATATGTGCAGTGCCTTTTAGTCTTGTAAAAGGCACACATACTTGTTTAATCCAAATTTCACTTCTAAATGTTTTGAACCAATACTGTTTTTCTCTGGCATTTCTTCTGTTTAATCTTGGTGTCATTCACTCTCATTCCTTCTTGGTTTATTCACTCAGGTTATCCACACAAAACACACATAGAGTAGGCCTCCCCCTTTCAGTCACTTCCTCAAGTGTCTTAGCTTTGGAGACAACCAGATATGGAGAGAGGAGCTGTAGTTAAGGACAGAGAGCATGGAGGGTTTATTTTGGAAGTTCCACCCTGCACTCTTAACTTGCCTCTATTTTATTGCTGTATTTGGGCACAATACATACTTTTCCATATGACTGTATAAAAAAATCACCACCAATTGTTTTCATTGCTGTTTCACTCTCATCATCTGGTAGTATGACAAGGTATTATCTTTTCTCATGATCTGCCAATCATACGCGCAGGTTTTTATTTTCTTATAAACAATCACCTTTATAATGATGCTCACAATTAGATAGTTTTTTGCTTCTGTATCGTTTCTCTGACATCTTCTCTGAGCTCCAAGGAAACCTCTTTTGCTTCAATTTGCTTGACAGCTGTTCTCTTATGATTCAAGTAAGGAGATTTGAGTATTAGGTATTAATACTTCAGCATCAGCTTGTCCCTCCCCTCCCCCCCCCCCTTCATTCTTCCT